GCATACACACTCTTCACTCATGAGGATCTACTCTGGATACTACTCATAGCTACATACTAACCCTCTACTACTAATGCTAACTCGCTGGGCAGCTATGGCTGCATCACTTCCAGCGTACAGGCTTCTTCCTGCATTCAGCGCATCTTCTACCTCCAGCGCTGCTCCTCCTGACTCAGCGCACAAGTGCACCAGCACTTCCACGCATTGCAGCCAGTGGAGATCTGGCGAGGAATGAGGCTGGATGTGGCCTTTATAGTGCTGGCCTCTCCTCGCTGGGTCTGCATTGGCTCAGTTCAGTCTTCCTTTTGTCCCAGACCCTGCATTGCATGTGTCCCAGTACAGTCCCAATGAAATTCAACTGCTGCTGAGGCCTTTCGGCCTGGATTTGGACTTCAAAGTCTGGATCTGGACTGTCCCCTTGACTTAGACCAGAACTGGGACTGTGCCTATTGATCTACTTTCGGGCAGGCACAACTCTAGATGAGCAGACACCCTCACTGCCTGAACAGACACTCCTCTTGGTACGAACAGGTGCACTGACTGTACGCACAGACACACCCTACCTCGAGCAGACATGACATACACACCTCCTGGCGAACAGGTAAGTCCTTTGACAATGCCCTTTCCTTTAGATTTGGATGTGCCCTTGGCTTTAGATCTAGATGTGCCCGTTGATAAAGAACTTGACCTTTGACCAGCTTTCCTGTTCCTGAGCCCTGGCGAGATACCTTTTCACAATGCTTTACTTTTACAAGGCCCGGGCTGCTTTACTTTTACAAGGCCTGAGGCCTATATCGGGTAAAGGCCCTTTTACTCCCGCCCAGCCTAGTTTCGAAGTCCTCTGAGAATCATTTACTCATCAATGATATAGATTCCTTTTCTTTCCTTTTCATATGCAGACACAATATGAGGTGCAGACTCTAACAAGTCTTCCCTGGTGAACCAGCGATCCTCGCTAGGATCCTGGTAAGCAAACCTCACCTTATATTGTCGTTGTGGTCTACCTCTACGGCCAGTGTGAAAAGTACTTTCTGCAATAATCTTTTCCATGTCATACCTTCTACCCATACTTGGAGGTATCGCTGACCTCCGGCTTGGAAACAACTCATTCGTCACGCAAGGCAAGAGCTTTGAGGCGTGGAACACTGGATAAGTACGCAAATGTAAAGGAACCTCAATGACATATGAAGGACCATCTACATCTCCAATTACGTCTAGAACCTGCCAAGGTCCTCTGTAGGCGGGTAAAAGCTTTTGAGAGATGTTTTCTTCAGGAGCAAACTCTTTAGATTTCACCCAAACCAAATCTCCTACAGCAAATTGAGACGGGCGTCTATGCTTATTTGCCTGTTCAATCATCTGATGCTGGGCTTTGAGTACGTTTTCTTTTACCTTCTCAATGTCTTTCTGATATTGGACTGCAAATTCACTAGTTCCTAGAGGAAGCTGATGGACTTGATCCGGGTTCAACCGATCAATGGGTCTGCGTGGACGCCATCCCAGATGTGACTCCATAGGAGTCTTACATGTAGATAGATGTACAGAGTTATTATAGGCACTAGCAACTTTAGGCAGATGTTCATCCCAGTCAATCTGATCGGGACGAATGTACATGCGCAAAGTTTGTTGCAATATCTTATTCATCTGCTCAGTCTGACCATTAGTCTCAGGATGCCTACCTAATGACATTGTCAACTTAGAGCCATAAACATTCATCAGTTGCTGCCATTGTTCACTCGTGAATCGGGTATCTCTATCACTCACAATAGTTAAGGGATGTCCAAAGTCTTTTACCCAATGGTTAAAGAATTCTCGAATCACCAAATCAGTCTTTGCTTCTGAAGGCAAAGCTACAAAAACAGCATACTTAGTGAATCTATCCACTATGACCATTTTTCTCATTTCTGCTTTTCACTTTAGTATCCATGAAATCTATAGAGACAGAGTCTCCAGGGCCGGTAGGGATAGGCAAGGGCTTAAGTAGCCCAAGGGGCGATTGCGTGGTGCTTTTGTTTCGTTGGCACACTTGACAACCTTGCACATACGCGATACGGTCTGCTTTCATCCGAGGCCAGGTGTAGGAACGCAATAAAGTCCCATAGGTCTTCTTCCACCCGAAATGGCCTTCTGTATCATGGCATTCCCCCAAGATCGTACTCTTGATCTCTTCATTATTGGGTATACACAGCCTATCATGCACATCATATCGTTCAAACAATAGACCCTGAGTTACTTTATGATCCGGAAACTCTACTGGTTTTTCTTGCACTAGCTTAATCATGGTTCCATAAACAGGATCGGAGGGATACGCATTTCTAATCTTTTCTTGGAGGTCAGCACCTACATCTAGATAAGTCACAATAGCACCGAAAAAGTCCGATCTACGACTTAGTGCATCGGCAACAACGTTATATTAACCCTTTACTGGCTTTAATTCAAAATCAAACATATCAATTTTCGCAGCCCACCTTGTCAATTTAGGTGTCATTCGAGCTTGCGTTTTTAGCCAGCGAAGCATTTCATGGTCGGAGTATACTTTAAAATGCCTTCCCAAAAGATAGTGTCGCCAATGATTGAGAGCCTCACGAAGAGCATACAACTCTCTTTCATATGTCGAGGGGGCCACTTTCTCGTTAGGCAACCGGCAAGACAAACTCCACAGGCCTGTATCCATGTCCATCGTCTTACTGGAGTACAACACCTATACCATATTGACTAGCGTCGGTTGTGACTACGAAAGGTAATGAAGGGTCTGCCACTTTCAAAACCGGATAAGTGATCAAACACTTTTTCAGACGCTTGAAAGACATAGTGCAGTCTGAATCCCACTTCCAAATTACTTCTTTCTTAAGCAACTGGCGAAGGGGAGCAGCGATTATCGTAAAGTGTCGTACGAACTTGCGATAGTAGTTGGCTAACCCAAGGAACGACCGCAACTTGGTCAAGGTGCGGGGGTTCGACCAATCTCTGATTCCTGCTATCTTAGCATCTTCCGGTTTGACCCCATCTCCATCAATCACATGTCCTAGATATAGAACCTGACGCTTAGCCCATTCACACTTCTTTGGGTTTATCTTGAGTTTTGCTTCTCACAGTTTATTTAGCACAAGTCGAAGGTGCTCAGCGTGTTCCTTTTCATCTTTACTAAAAATTAAAATATCATCTAGATAAATTACAACAAACTTGTCAAGCCACTCACGAAATAGTTCGTTCATTGTCCTTTGGAAAGTGGCAAGGGCATTTGTGAGACCAAAGGGCAGAACGATAAACTCATAGTGCCCATACCTTGTCCTGAAGGCAGTCTTATGTTAGTCTTACGGCTCAACCTCAATTTGATGGTAGTCGGATTTCAGATCAATCTTTGAAAAGATTTTGCAACCCTGCACGCGATCCAGCAAATCGTCTATTCGCGGTAATGGTTCGGCATTCTTTACGGTTATATCATTTAATCTCCTATAGTCTATACACATGCGAACGCCGCCGTTTTTCTTAAGGTACAAAGAGCACAGGCGCACAATAGGGCGAGGAGCTAGGCCTTATCCATCCATTTTTCAGCAACTCATCGAGTTGGGTTCGCAGTTCATCCAATTCCTGGGGCGACATACGATAGATAGGCCCCTTCGGGGGCGCGCTCCCTGGAATGATATCAATGCAGTGGCGGATTGGTCATTCCACCACACAGCTTGGGGCTTCAGCCACGTCGGCGAACTCTTTCAAGTTTCTCTCAATCTCTTGAGACCTGACTTCCTCTTTAGTTTCTCCTTCCTTTATTGGGCGCACGTATGCGACTTGGTCATGCAAGTTATGTTTCTTAACATGGCGAGCGAGCGCTAGGGCACTCATACAACAGTGAGCTAGGCTGCTTTCCTTTCCAGATTCATGATAGAGGCGGATTTTCTTCTTACCTCCTTGCGGACTTGGAAGCCAACATTCATGTTCCCTCAACTTTACATCCGCATGTGCAGCCTCACCCCAATCCATTCCTAACAACACATCAAAGGGCAAGTTATCCTCCACCAAGAAGGTCAGAGAGTGGAGAAAGCGTTCCACCTTCCCCTCTGCGTCTAGCCGAAAGTATACTTGTATTCCCTCGACGTATCGATCCATAACAGTTTCACTACTATTCGCCAACTTACTTACAATGGGCTCATCTATCTTCTTAACCTTAAGCCCAAGACGCAATTTCTGCAAACCTCTTTTACTAATATAACTGCGTGTAGACCCGCTGTCTATCATACCTCCTACTCTAACTCGATTTATTTCCAGATCTGCAATTATTACTTGTCCCTTCTTTTTTCGCATTTCAGTCCAGGCTTGGCGACAAGCGGCCAACTCATCACCCATGCCAGCGAGGGATCCACCTAGAGAGGTGCATACGTTTGCCACCTCTCGACAGTGCACTAGAAGGGGACTTCCTTCCTCTTCAGTTTCTGCCATTGGGGCCTTCGAATGGGAGGATTCTGATTTTTCAACATTCGAAGCCCCGGTAGAGGAAACTGGCACCTCTACTGGCTGTTCCCTTTTGCCCCCCTATAGTCAGGGCAATAGGGGACAATGTGGTCGGGGTCCCCACATTTGAGGCATTGATCTGCCTTCTTCCTTTCGGCCCCAACTTTTTCTGTGATTCCCAATTCTTTCCAAGGCTCTCCTTCCGGCAGGCCTGGATGAGGTGGGTATGGCTTATCCCACTTGTTGTACCATGAGCCTCTTCCTCTACCCCACATGGAGTAAGAACCACGGCCACCGTATGAGGGACCATTTCCCCTTCCTCCCACATAGTGGCTTCCTTCACCACCACCCCTCTGGGTGCCGAATCCCCGTCCACCACGGCCGCGACCTCTTCCTCGGCCACGCCCTCTTCCTTGACGCCCTCCCCCGCGGGCTGCAACAGCCGCGTAACTCCCCTCCTGAGCTACTGGTCTGTTGGGTTCATCGAGACCATAGTCTACCTGATCCCAGAAGATGGTCTCGGTGCCTCCTTCTTCAAAGGCTAGAAGGAGACTGTCTTTCCCAGGTATAGACCCTGAGATGGTGCGGTTTTGCCATCTCTTACCCGCTTGCAGATCCTTCCAGTAATGGCAATAATTTGCTTCAGCGAGGAAGCCGGCATGATCTATGGCGATCTTGCCGAACTTCTCATATGTCATCCCCTCTTCCTTGGTACGAGGATAGAGTTGTGTTCTTAGGGGATCCCGGAGTGCTCGTGCAAAACTGTTTAAGATTTGGGCCGGCGTCAATCCGTGATCAGGGCATTGCAATAATTCATCCATAGTTGCCTTTAGTGCAGAGGTACTCTTCCATTTCCTGTCAGGAAGGCTGAGGATCAACATTTTTGTACATCTTGCCAAGTTTTTGTCCTCAAATCTTTCTCTTATTAACTTAAGGAAATCTTCGATTCGCGTTTGCTGCGAATATTCTACCATGGAGCTGCATCCCGCCTCCTTTTGCAGCGAGATGGCGAAGCTCATGGCGTCGCCTCCCATGCACGAAGTTGCCATCAACACCCTGTCCCAGTATGGGATACGCTGTCCGTACACATAGGTTTCAATTGTCGTCGCCCAGTGCAACACAGTCTTTTCTTTCTTTCCATTGTAGGTCCAGGGCATTTTAAGTTTTATCTTGTTAACCTGCCCGGTTTCCTGAGGAAGTTTTCTTTCGGATCCCCAATCTTCCTCTTTCCTTTCTTATCATCATCGTCGTCGCCATCACCATCTCCTCCGTCGCCTCCAGCTCCCTTTACAATCTTCTCTACGACTTCCGGGGTGAAGACTTTATTAATATGTTCGTCCAAAGCTTGGATGTAAGTTTGCACATGTTGGTCAACATCCTTGGCTGACTTTTCCACAAAGTTATTCCAGAAGTTTTCGAATTCAACTCGATGCGCTTCAACCCTTTGTAGGGTCTGATGCATTAACTTCATATCTTGCCTTGTGTTGAGGACTGACTCCCTAAGGAGAGCAAGTTGTGCTTCGGATTCATAGGGATTTTCTTTTTGCGCTTCTAGAGCTTTCTGCAATTTCTCCCCTTCGGCCTGCAGTCTTTTCTTTTTCTCTAGTTCTTGTCGTCTGGAAGCTAACAATCTGGCATTCAATTCAGCCCTTTTTTCTGCCATCAGCAGGTTACGTTCAACGGTGTCTGTCACAGTGGCCAACTTGGCGACGAATGCATCTCGCTCTGCGTCAGTCTCTTTCAATGGCTCGCTGGAATAGTAGTACCGTTCCCCCCAATCCAACGGCTCAACGGGAAGCCGGCTACTACTCTCAGGGATGTCATGACGACGTCGCTGCAAGGTCTGTTCATCTTCCTGTGCTACTTCTTCTTCTGCTGCTTCTTCTTCTTCTTCTTCTTCTTCTTCTATACTCTTCAGTTCTTCTTCCAATTCTTTCTCCGTCTTCTCTTTCATCTTCCTCTTAGCTTCTTCTTCTTTTTGTTTTTTCTTCGCTTCCCTTTTTTTTTTCTTTTCTTCCAGCCTGCGGTCTACTTCTGCTTGTTCCGCAGGTGTGGGCCCCGGCTTTGTTGTTCCAGACCGCATTAGCATGCGGGACGTACATGTGCGTCCGAACCCCAACGGGAACATCAGCCTGAACAGGGGCCCCAATAACACAGAAAGGGCCAACAAGCACTGGATGGGATAGTCATCCATGATGACTACCGGCACAAGGAGGCCCTCCGCCGGATCACCAAGGCACTATCCCAATCAACTTACTTAGTATCAATTGGCAATGGAGTTCTCTGTCTTTTTTTTTTTTTTTTTTGTGGACTGTAGAAAGTGCTGCAGGTAACAAATCAAATTAAAATAATGCTTACTTGTTGAATCTGTATAGTCTTTTTTTTTTATATGCTGTCTGGCTCCCTGGATCAACCTTTGGCAATGTGTTTGTCTCTCTTGATATATACTTTTTTCTTTCTTTTACTAACTTGCTGGGTGTCTGATGCAGGTATGGAGTACAGCGCAGAAGGTCAGATGCAGATAGTTCACTTATCCAACCAGGCAGAAATGCTTCGTTCACCCTTTTCTTTCTTTCTGGCTTAACAGGCCCTGTAGATGCTCAATATCATCCTTATGCTGCCTGGTACCTGCTATCTGACGTGGCACATAGCCACTTCCCACATCGATTCTTTGTTTCTTGATGACGATACCCAGTCTGCCTATCAAGAGGGATAGGAGAGAGACCTACTCCTATTCGCAGAACACTGGACCACCTACACTAGTGTGACCAGTTCCTGACACATCACACTTGGGTCATCAGACTCTAGCGGCTCAGACCTGACAGCTATGACAACCCAGATCCAGACTTCGACTCCTGACCAGATCAGCAGCAGTCACCTTCAGAGGGTCAGAGAGAGAGAAGGTAGGGGACACACACATGCATGCAGGTTCAGGGAAAGGAGGTGCTTCTCTCTTCTTGAAGATACCGCCGATGATGCTCCACGACGCTCCGCACGCTCCAGGTAAGTAGAGTTCGCCACTTCTTCTTCGGCCTGGTTCCCCCACTATCAAACCCTTCTTCTCTTCCTCCCTCCTTACCTCTTCCTCCATCCCCACTTCTTCTCGCCGGCCTTGATCAGACCAGCGCTATGAGTGTAGCGAGCATCTGCTCCGATACCAAATTTTGCATGGGTCCTGGGGACCCTTTCACGCAAGTGTGTACACGTCATGCATCATTCTCACACACCACGGTCAATAGTCTCAAGTCATAGACAAAGGTAGATGAGAAGAGGACCGAGTTTCACAGCTTATATTATCAG